TAGATTGTGTTTATCACATCAAAAGGCTTCTCTGCATGGCCTCACATTAGTCGGCTGCCTACATCCCTCGTGCACGGCTCTCATGTTGGATCAGACGCGCAGCCTGAAGAAGCGAGCCGCTCTCATATCTCTCCCACTCTCTCTCTGCTTGTTTAATTTTGTCAGCGTCTTTCATTTCTTGTTTTTTTTTTTTTTCTTCCAAATTATTTGACATTTAGATCCTGGCCTTTTCTGCTTTTGTTTTGTTTGTTTTTTTCTGTGTCATCCAGTCTTCTTTTCTCATGATGCTGCAGATTCACCTCCTCTTGAGTATCGACACACTTGTGGAGACTACTTTCGCTTTCCTCCACAGTCATATGACTGAGGGCAGCCACCTGTCACTTTGTTGACTGTCTAAGCACAACTGCACCGCCAGGGACACGGACACAGTCTCCTCCTGTGGGTTGTTTTTGGTTCAGCCACAGTGGATGAGACACTCCCTTTTACCGTGGCAGGGAGTGGATCATATGATGTAGTTGATATTGTATGAGTCAGCAGGTTTGCACATTTACACCTCCATTAGCCAACTAAGGATGACTCCTAATAGAAAAATGTGGCCGGTTTACTATTTGTTGTTTCAGTTCACAAGAAGTCGTGCTCAAGGTACGTTTTGTTACCTAATAAGTGACTAAGCTGATGAGAGTCATTCGTCCAATTCCTCTCGTTGACCTAGTGTGTGTCTGTGTGTGTGTTTTCCAATACAAAATGGCACTGTATCATTTTCTTTTCCCTCAGAGGTGGAGGCGGGCCAGCAGTCAATCCTGCTAGTCTAATATTGAGCGGTAGCCTAGCAACCGATTTGCAATGAGCTTTCAGACCAAGGTCTTCCCACACAGTGGCCAATAAAAACAAATGGGGAAAACTCACTTCCTGGTCAATTACCCTATTGATCCCAATCAAAACGCTATACATCTCCTCAGACGGCGCATGCTATGGAGAAATTGTCAAGCACAGACATGCAGAGGGGTAACCCGGCGTTTATGTTGACTTTTCTCATCTTGAAATATCAGCGGACAAAGGCTGCTCTGTCTGTTAAGTTAGTAGGGCGGAGTGTGAAGGCTCACCTGACTGTTGTTCTTACCACAGAATGAAACAAATGGTGTTTTTTTACTCATTGTCTTCACATTTTCATATGTAATTCAGTGTTACTGGCTTTTTTTGTTAAAATGTGTGTAAGCATCAATCCACAAAACAGATCTCAACATTGACTTATTATTGTCAACACAAATCCATAGAAGGGAAGCTTTCAATGGAAGAACACGAGTTTAAAGGTTTTAAGCATAATAACGCATTATTGAGCGTCTCAGTGAACAATCCCCCTGCTGGAGTGCAGATGGTACTCTAATCTGTTGAAAATTGCTGTACATATGTTCAGGAAGTCCTGAAAATATCTATTAGTCATCGTGGCTGCTATGGAATGAGAATATTTTTGGTCTTCAGGGAGCAAGAGGTGGGCAGTCCAGAGGGAGCGAAAGACACAGTCGGGGAACGAGGGAGGATGTGATGCATAATAGATCGGATTTGTGTCAGGAGTCTAAATTGATGAAGGCTTTTTGGGGGGAGGGGTGTATCCAGGGAGCATGACGATAGCTATGGCCTAGTGAGGCCTATTCAAGCTGAAATGCAATGGAGTAAATTGTAGACTAGTGCTGACCGGCCCCGGGGGAGGGGTTGCATCTTGTGCGGAGCTGGGTTGGTCAAAGCCTGTCATAGTGCTGTTTTAACACAAGTGCAGCTGCAGCTCTGCACTGCAATTGTCTCCCTCCTCGCTTCCCCTGCCCCCCCTTTTTGGACCATGTGAGCAAAAGTCAGAGCAGTCCATCTACCAGTGCCAAGACAGCATGGTGGGTTAGCAGTTAGAGTGACCTCGCTGTAAGTGGAGGTCACAGATTCAAACCTTGCATTATTTATTGTGTTTGCGTGTCCTTGAGTGAAACACACCTACGCTCCTGCTCCAGACGACAACACTGGTTAAGTGCTACGTTTGGGAGTTTGGGGACAGCCTTGCTTCATTTTTCTGCCCTCTGTCTTTTTGCTAAGTTGATAAATGGTTTCAGCTTCGCCTCTCTTTATTGACATTACACAAGATTTACGTTGTTGTGACATCCACGCAGTGTTTATGTGTCTCAGGATTGGCCTGGTTCTAGTGGTCCGATATGGGAAAGAACATTGACTAAATGGATGGAAACAAAAGGAGATAAGGATAGATAAAAGGTAGCAGCATATAAGCTGTACTTGAGGGCCACACTGATAAAAATGTTCATAACTGTAAATAACAGACCATAGTGACAACAAATGATAGGTCACACCTATAGACATCTTGTTGTGCTACTAAGTCAAAGGAGGAGTAATCGAGTTAAATTCAATGCAGTCATTCAGGATTTTACTGCTACTGAGATCATTTTTGTTTGCAGATTTACTCACAAATGACCCATATTGTTTAGTTAGGGCTGATACCTATACAGTGTTAGTAATCCAGGGCTGTGCCTCTTGTGTAATCGTACGTTAAAGTAACACCCACAGGAATGCCAGGACTGAAGGTTTTCCAGCCAACATTGTATTATATTGCAGGCTGCAAGGTGGCTCGGTGGTTAGCACTGTCGCCTCGCAGCTAAAAGAGCCCGGTGTCCCGGTGAGGGATCTTTCTGCGTGGAGTTTGCATGTTTTCCCAGTGCAGCGTGGGTTCTCTCCGGGTTCTCCAGCTTCCTCCCACACAGTCCAAAAACATGTTGAGGTTAATTGGTGATTCTAAATTGTCCATAGGTGTGAATGTGAGTGTGCTTGGTTGTCTGTCTCTAAGTGTAGCCCTGTGATGGACTGGTGACCTGTCCAAGGTGTCCCCTGCCTTCACCCTAAGTCAGAACGAAGTGGTGTATAGATAATGGATGGTTTTGATCGGTTACACGTCACAAGTGATAGCCAGTCAGGTCCACAGAGTGGTAACTTCAGACAGAGACGGGCAGCTGCATCAGAGTCAAAAAACAGAAATTTCTAATAAATATTCTTTAGTGGGAGTCTCTTTGTACCAAGCAATTTACTCTTGTGTCTCCTGGGAGAAGTTCATATTGAACATCCTTTCCTAAATCAACAGAGTGGCCGTCATCTCTCAGATTGACTTCCTATGTTTTTTTTCTCTCTTTCTTTCCAGAGTGCCAGAAAAGGTCAGCTATCTTTCCTTTTGTTAAAATTATCCAGGCAAATGTTGGAATCTTAACATTTTTTCTCATCATCAGGCAACTAGGTCATTGTTGAGTTGAAGGGCTTCCTGTAAACATCTTGTTTGAATTCTGCTTTCAGTGATTCTGCTTTTCTTTTTCGTAAGCTTATTATGAAACTCCTGAGGCTTTTAAAGCTCTGAGCAACAGCCTTTCAACAACTCCGGCTAGACAGGAGTGTATTCTTCATTTACAATGAGCATTTGCAGCTTTTTATTTTGATAAAAATCATGAAATTGCTGTAAACAGTGGGTTATAAAAGCACGATGGCATTTACTTGCAAATGCGGTGAAAGTGGTTTAAGGACTTTTTTTTTAAGCTGTCACAGCAGAAATGGCAAAGTCATTTTTTATGCAGTTTAATACAAGGACCTGAAATTTTCCTCTCCTTCTAACTAGCCTTTAGATTCCTTAAACAGCTACTTCACGCTGTATAACTGAGATGGGCTTTCATCCCATGAATTGTGTACATTACAGTCGACCGACCCTCAGACTTAATGGTGCTTATAATGCCGTAGCACCCATCCGTTTGCAGTAACGCTCTCCCATGCCGTGCCAGAATTTCCACCCCTATTTATACTTGGCGAAGACCAGCTGACACACCAACAGTAAACAGCTCCTATATTCCTGTTAATGACAGTCTGCGAGCTACACTACGCACGTGCATGTCCGTTTCCATGATTCTTCTGAAGTAGACGTGCCTGCACTGAAGTCTTTTGCCTTTTATAGCAACAAGCCCACATTACTGCAGGTTGTTGCCTTGCAAAGGTTGTAAGTATAATAATCCATCCCAGCAGTCTAAAGTGGTGCCAGACTTTGGTGCTCATGTATTCATCACTGTGTATTATAGGAGTGCAGTGGCAGAGGCTGTAACGTTAAGCCTGTAATGTTAGTGTTTTTGTTAGCGCTCCTAATTTTAATAACAGAGCAGAGCTGAGATTTTGTCAGGCTGGTTGTGACTGTTAACTCCGCACTGTCCAGCAGTGCAGCAGCAGCAGCACACACAGCGATGCAGTGTTCTCCGACTAGGTTTTAGGTCGTCAGCTGACTGCTTGCTAGACTGGGTCACGTTCTCCATAATCAGCTGTGGAATGTCTTCTCTTTTTTTTTCCTTTTTTTTCCCCTCTCCCTCACCCTCAAACCAGTATCAGTGTCTCTTTCACTCTCTTTCTGCTTATTTTGCTCTTCTTCTCCCTCCCTCGCTCCTGAGTCACAAGACTACAGTGGTGGTCCTCTCTGTTCAGCTGCCTTGAAAAGCAGCACATTCACCGAACTGTGGCTGCATCACGTCTTTGTGTACTTGTTTTAGGGGGGCCCTATAATCACTGAGTCACTGTGCCATGACGTTTCTGCTGATAATAGAGTATGACTAAGTCTCAGTTAGCGCACAGGTGTGTGTTTGCTTATGGAGCAGCATGTGGGGGAAATGAGACAACGATGGGATACGAATTGGCAGCGTAAGCGTATTTATTATGCGATGGGGGGGAGGAGAGGGTGGGAGGGGAAGCAATTTAAGGAAATTAGCTGCAGCACTAACTAGTGGATCCCAAATTGAAACATTTACTTTTTCTGTTTTTGCCAACCAAGCTGCTTTTTACAATTAACTCAAGTCAAGCTGGATGCCTGCCAAATGTCTGGTTGAGCAAACAGAATTTATCTGAGTGTCTGGCTACCAGTTCTGTAAATATCCTGTTCAGGATAAGTGCAAGCATGATTTTTCTTATACCGTTTGTCCCCCCCTTCCTAGGTATGGCATCCGTCCAGAGAATGTGATCGTGTATGGTCAGAGCATTGGCACCGTGCCCTCCGTGGATCTGGCCTCTCGCTATGAGAGCGCTGCCGTCATCCTCCACTCCCCGCTCACCTCTGGCATGAGAGTGGCTTTCCCCGACACCAAGAAGACCTACTGCTTTGATGCCTTCCCAAAGTGAGTGGACTGGACAGACAGATGGCATGTGTGAAAGCCAGGCTAAATTCATCACAAACACTGAAAGACACACAGTCTTCCCAGGACAGTTCAGATAACAACAATGCACATACATAAACAAAAACAAATCACTGAGTTTGCATCAGAGAAAACGATAAAGCTCACAGATGAAATTTCAAATCTATGCAGGTGGTGTTTGTCTGATGTCATACCTAGAAAAAAAACAATCTCAACAGCTCCACCTGGTGGTCATTTTGCAAACAAGCTAATTTCTTATAATGAATTTTGAATTTACATTTTTGGTACACTAACTTGTGTTTCCTTATTTTTCTCATTCCAAAGCATCGACAAGATTTCCAAGGTGACGTCACCAGTGCTCGTGATCCACGGTACAGAGGACGAGGTCATCGACTTCTCCCACGGCCTGGCGCTGTACGAACGCTGCCAGCGCCCCGTCGAGCCTCTCTGGGTGGAGGGAGCCGGACACAACGATGTGGAGCTCTATGGACAGTACCTGGAGAGACTCAAGCAGTTTGTGGCACACGAGCTCGTCAACTTGTAGAGGAGCTGGAAGGAAGGGCGGAGAGGGTAGAAGAGAAGAAAGCAACGGTTTTCAGGAGATTGATGGACGAGCGTTTTCTTCTCTTTTTTTTTTTCCGTGAAGTAATGCAGGTTGAAGTGGTGTCTGTCTGTGGTAGTGCCGACGTTATGGTGGCTGACTTCTCATTATCGAGCACCTCTTCCCCTCGGGGCTCCAGGTTGCCCAGGGCCTGCCCGTACCGTCCACTCCACATGCTGCAGCTGTGAACTTAGAAGTACCCATCGTTTTGTTTAGCTTTTAGATTTTTTTTTTTTTTTCATTTTGAAAATTGCACATTGTGAAAGTGTGTGAATGAAAGAGGAAGTAGACATGTCCACAGACAACATACCATGTGTACATGCAATATATACGACTGTGTGTGCGAATGTGTCACATTTTTGCTGCCTTTTTGAGAAAGACGTGGTCCACAGTTCATAATGGAGACCTCTTGTCAGCTCTTGAGCCCTTCGAGGTTCTGAAAAAGAAACAGCCTTTGTACAAACTAGTCTGGACCTGACTTGCTCTAATCCAGCCAGTCTCCATCTGACTCTGAGGTCCTGGTTTGGTCCTACACACTGCAGTCACCATGAAATCTTTTTTTTTTTTTTTTTTTTGGAGTACTGTTTATTATATTTTTTTATATTATACATAATATTTGCACGTATCAGCTGTCACTGAAGAACTGTACATGACAAACTGACATATTACCTAGCTGTGCCAGTGTTGCCAAATGTTTAGTATAATATATTGCAGAGACTTAGGCACACGAAGAAGTGTACTTTTACAAACATTTAGAAACATCTCCAAAGCTCGGTTAGCTGTATCCAATCTTCTCTGTTTAGTTTTAAAGTGGTACAATTTGATGTTGCAGTCTGAAAGAATATGATGCAAGAACGGGGCTCAGTCTGCAGCTTATGTAGCCAGTTTGAAAGGCTGTATATCGTCGACCAATAAAGCGGGGGGGCGTTTCCTCACACTCCACAAATGTTTCCACAGTTTAACTTGAAGTGTTGTTGCTGTAAGATCACTATCACTACGCTGTAGTCGATTAACTTGATGTCTTCAGAGAAACTGAATGCTGGCCACTACTGTGGACAAAGTATGGGACCCCTTTTCGGAAATGCATATTTGCCTCAATATAGTAACTGTTATGAAGCCCATTGTTGACTGTTTTTTTTTTTTCTTTCTGCCTTTGAGTTTGAAGATATCAAGCTAAGTAATGTGCGTAGTCATTATTATAGATCTCTCTAGAGTACCAAGATCAGATCTTTCTATAGATGAATCTTTTTTTATATGATAAAAATGTAACTACTGAGACAGCAGCTAATGGTCAATGCTCTGATCAAGACTTAAACCACTAATGCCAATCAGGATGAACGTTATGAACATAACTGGTATCGACTTATTTTCAGTTCAGGAAGTTTTTTTATTTTTAAAGTCAATGTTCAAAGTCATTTAAGCATTACTTGCTTTAGAATGAATGGACAGCGGGTTATATCTGTGTGAGCGGCTCAGCATTAAAGGCGTCCACGACGGACAGGATGTTTTACTTTTTGTTTTTGTCTTAAATTTACCTTTCCGTCTGCATGATGTTTTTAAATCCATTGTTGTATGTTGAGTTGCCCTTTAATGCTGAGTGAGGCAACACAAAGCATTAGCGCGCTGATGTCTCTATTAGGCACTGTCGGTGGCCTGAGAAGCAAATGTCAAAGTGCTATTGCATGCCACGAATGGCTGTTTTCTCTCTCGATGTTTTTGGCCTGTATAACAAAGGCAAGAAATATATAAGAATTCTCGATGAAACCTTTTTTTAGGGGTATTTTATATACCTGTGTCAAACTTGAGCCTGTGTTCACAAAAGGGGTCAAATTTTGTTAAGTGACAATTAACCAATAAGCCAATGGGTGCTACTGTTAAACCTTCAGGTCTGATTAATTACATGTTGAGTGGAATTGACCAAGATCTAGATCAAGATCGGTAACTGTCAGTTGATTGTCTGTTGTTATGAAAACTTTTGTCACAACTTATTTGTCTTATAAACAAACTCATGCTTTTCCTTTTTTGTTTTTACTTTTGTAAATAATATTTGTACTGGACATGTTGTCATTTTATTTTTATTTTTTTCTTTCACAAACTTTTGTCATCTGTCAACTGTATTTCTGCTAACTTCTCTAACTCTTGATATGACAAAGATTAGACCAAGGTAGGCCGTCATTTTGGCTTTTCAGATGACCTTTGTACTGGTCACCTTGACAAGTGTCATCTCTGATTTGATTAGATTAATTTTGTAAAGCATATTTCAATACAGAAGGAAGTTATATGTAATAAAATTAATATAGTAATTCTAACATGGATATAGACAATAAAATGGTATTTGAGAAACAATCTAATTTGTGGCTGAAATTTTTATTTTGAAGGGAAAACTTTATGCTTAGGACTGTGTTGTAACCTTTTCTAATCATATGAATAATGTTTTTTTTTAAATCTTGCGTTCTAAATGGAGCCACTAAGCAGGTTTTGACTCAGAGGCAGATCATATCTGACTGATGAATTTCACATTGCTATGCGTTGTTCATAACTCTGCGTCACTTTTGCTCAGATGTGACAGTTGATTTACCTTTTCCTGCACGCTGTGTTCCTGTAGCCCTGAAGCACACGGTTTGGTACTTTCCCGATGATGAATTAAACAGATAATGTTTCAAAGCAGACTTTACTGAAAGAAAAACATATAAACTTGATACCACGAGAGGTCAAGAGGTCAACTGTGCTGCTCCGCTCAGGGACAGTAACAGGAGAGGATGAGGAGATGACTGGAAGATTGTAGAGGTTACCAGAACAGATCAGGGAAAAGTCCTGCACTATGACTGCAATGGAAAATATTACCGGTGAAGTTAAGGGCGTTATAGTGGTGTACTCCTCAAACACAGCAATGCTTATTGTATTTGTCATTATATCAGTGTTTGACATTTCAGAATTCACAACACTGAGCACGGCCGATCTGCACACTGCAGTGAAAGGGACTTGTGCCAACCTTTGACTGTACAGTGTGAATGTTGCCAAACATTGGAGGATGATGATATCCTCCTGCGCACCAGCAGGCGGCGCTGTGCTTCAGGTTTAAACCAGCGCAGCTTTAATGACCCCTTCAAAGACTCCTCGGAGACCCGTCAATTTACTGATTTAAGTCTTTAGGAAGAGTTTAGGTTGGAATTAAAATCACACAGGACAGCTTTGGTAGTTGTTTTACAATAAATAAGCTATTTTCTGCTTCAGCACCAAAATTACAAGGATGCATGTTGAATGTAAACATATTTTCTCAGGGGATGCTTTCACTAATAGAGCCTTGCTGTTCATTTCACGGTGCTTTGCTGTTATTAGCTCATGTGTGGGCAGGGAATCAGCAGCTTACAACCACTGACAATTTGACTGGTCTAGACATGGTGAGATTGTCATCTGTTCCAGAACGACTTTCTGTCTGACTCCACTAATTCCTGGCAACGGAGGACTATAATGATATTACTGCTGGTGTACACGTTCAAACTACAGACTCAACACCACAGTTCTGCATCTTGTGCAGATGTTGGCAGGTTATATTAACGATATACATCCACATCAGCACAAATTATTTTTATAAAATGACATAGTCTAATAAACATTAGCCTGCCAACACTGTTGAAAGGAAATTATCATTAGAATTGTAATGCTTTTAGGAAGAACAGCAGTATCGACGGCTACTAAGGCTGCATCAAGGACATTGACGTCCTCAGTTTTTTTTTGTTGTTGTTTTTTTTGTTTAAGCAATCTGGGAGTGTTACACTTGGCCCTTTAGAAACTTACACTGAGCTGGGTATTTTATAGGATGATTTCTTTACTTATTAATGCCATCAATATTTTTAGATCAAACAAAACGTAATTAAATAAATAAATAAATGAATGAATGAAGGATTCAATATTTTGCCATTGGAGGGTGGGAAGGTATTCAAAACAGCATTTAGATTAGTTATCTGCTTCTGAACTATCATTTTTGAATATCAAATTAACTAAAAATAGTTTTGTTTTTTGTTTTGGGAGGGTACCTCACTATTTCTGACATCCTACCTGCTGCTGCTAGCACTGCTACTACTGAAAGAACTACTACTACTATCAAAATGAACAGCAGCATCAATAGCAACAACAATAATATAATAGCAACAATAATAACGCACTCTTTATGACAATTAACACAGTAATAGAGAGGAAAAACACTGATTTCTAAACTCCCTCCTGTGTTCTTCACACTCTGAATACTACCACTACTGCTACCATTAACCACAACAACAACAATAATACACTGCTTATCACAATTAACACAGTAAAAGAGAGGGAGATCATCAATTTATAACCTCCATCTTGTGTTCTTCACACCTTGAATACTACCACTACTACTAGTACTATGACTACTACTACTACTACTACTACTAGTACTATGACTACTACTACTACTACTACCACTACTACTAGTACTATGACTACTACTACTACTACTACTGGTACTATGACTACTACTACTACTACTACTACTACCCCCATTAACCACAACAACAGCAGCAATAAAAATACACTGCTTATCACAATTAACACAGTAATAGGGAGAAAAAATATATAACTTGTAGCCCCCCTCTTGTCTTAGTCACACCTCTAAATACTACCACTACTACAATTTCTATTGCTTTTGCTACTACCACTACTACAGTACTTCTGTTACTACTACTGCTAATTATTGTTGTGGAAATTGTCTTGCACATCTGTGTGTTTTCTGTATTTATTTTTTTAGTTATTTGTGTGTGTGTGTTTTGCTACTATTACTACTACTGCTACTACTACAAATAACAATATCCAGCTTCCCTCCACTGTTCTTTACACCCTTCTCCTGGTTGCCGCTGTGCCGACCGTCCCTGAACGCAGCAGCATTTCCTTCTCCTCTCAGCCTCGCCTGCTTCCCTCTCGGTGGGGAACTGGGGGCTGACCGACGGACGAAAGACAGCCTATCAGCAGAAAAGAAAAAAAAAACCCACACCATGTGAAGAAAAGGTAGATATAAAAGGGACGTGAAAAGCGCGAACTCGCCAGGGTGAGAAACTTATCCACTGGTCTTACCGCCGGTTGTGGTCGGCGCTCTTCATCGGCTCGGCAGAGAGCGAATGGACAGAGCGGAGCAGGACAGTCTCACCAACGGTAGGAGCTCACCGTCCGACCGCCCGACCGCTCACATTGTGTCCGTCAACCACCGAGGGGGTGAAAGGGGGATTCACCGGGTGAAGCTTTTTTTGACTTCTTGAAAATTCTCAATTGCCTTCTTGATATATTTAGTGTGACACTGGGAATTGGCTAAAAGCTAATGTTTGAAAAGTTGTGTGTAGCGCGTTGCTACGTGTCGGGTCCGTGAACTACTCTAACTGTCAAAAGTGGTGAAAAGCAGCTAAACCTGAGTGTAATGTTGTAATATTTCTAATTTTACCCACTGCTTTATGCCATATGTTTCCTCTCGGTTCCTCTTTTGTGACGCTGGTACTACACAGCACCACTGGAGAATGTAATAGTGCGCTTTTATTGTGAAGGAAACAAGCCCATTAATCACTATGAATATATATAATGGCATCCCTCCATTAAACACACATCACTGCTGCGTGTCTCGCCCCAGCAACACCTACTGCAAGTGTCCACTCAGCAGTGTGAGGTGTAAAGGCTCTGTTTTAGCTCTGCCTATGGCTTGGTTAGTATAGGAAACACATGGCTTACTGTTTGTTACACTGCCAATGTCGACTTCCAAACTAAAAGGGTGATTTTACAGCTGAGGAATGTGTGATGGTCTGTCCCGCGTTGACTCCTGTGTTTCCCCCCACATCTGTTAGATATCCAGTAGCTCTGATATCAGGAAAGTATGAGTGAATGAAGGAAGGAGGGAGTCCCTGCTTATTAGAAAAAAAACAAATACATCAAGTCCTCACAGAGCACTGCGACCTTGTGATCTCAGTGTAATCTCTGAGTAGTCCTGAGGTGTCCACAACTCTTTATGCCCTGACAGGTCAGCTGGTAGCAGGGGAGCAGGAGCAGCCTGAGCACCTTTTATGGCCAGGAATGTGAATAAAACCATAAGCCTGAGATGGGGTTATAAAGACCGATGCCTGAGGGGATCATCCCATCACAGGGCTCCGACTGAGAAAGTCTAGATGCAGGGCGGCAGACCATGAGAATCCGAAGCAAAGTGTAATCAGCGTGCCTTTGCAGATGACAGTCTGGTTTGCACAGAGAATTATCAGCTGAACCCCTTCATGAAGAATGACTCAGAGACACTGTAATGGGATAACTCAAGTTGAAGTGGTTGAAACAGCTGCGGTTATGCTTCGTTTCTTTGTGGCCTGCATAAGTGACTGAGGCCTTGTCTTGCAGTCCTTGATTGTACATTGCACTGTTAACGAGCTGAAGAGGGTTGTTGTTTGTTGCTCTGGGTTAAAAGAGATGACTAATTGGCTCGCCGAGACAATGGTCGTTGTGTGTGTTGGTGGGTTGGCACGGAGACGTGTGTGTGAAAAGAAGCGATACTCACTCGAATGATATAAAGCCTGAAAACCATCACTTCCAGGGTGGCGTTGATGTAAAATAAGCCTGCCGTTGACGTTTGTTGCAGTTTTGCGCTTTGAAAAACAGACGTGGTCATTCTTTAGATCAAACGGTAAGAATCGGTGTTAACTTCCTGACATTTTGCTTATGGTGACCTAGTGGTAAGCTGTGTTATTAGTACAGTGGTGAAGGGTGTTTGAGAAAAGTGCAGTTTAAGCCTCTTTTTCTGCTTTGTCATTTCCTGTACCCCCGTGTGTTTGTGTGTGCAGGTGTGTGCCTGTTTGACCTTTCTGTGTGAGTCCTGCCTCATTTGTGGCGACAAAAATGAGTCCTCATCATACATTTTTACTTTGAAGACTTGTTTAAGGTATAGGTCAGGCTTAGGCTCCTAGAAATGATTGCAAGTCACTGTAGCGTCCTCTGAAGGGAAACATGACCGTGTGTGTGTGTGTCCGTGGCTTCAGTTCACTTTTTGCTACTTTTTCCCCTTCGTGTGAAATAAAGGGAGCACAGACTGGAGCGAGAGCCTTCTCCTTCTTCCCTACTGTAATTGGTGCCATCTGTTTTGGCTGTGCTAACATAGTCTGAGGAATGTTGTGATCCATTATTCACTACCTCCTGCGTTACTGTGGACAAGAGCAGCCAATGTCACTCCGTTCCAGCCAAATTAGCAAGGGGATAAATCAACTGTTTGAAAGAGCAGATTAATGGTCTTTTTAAGAGCCACTCCAAGGATCTTTACCTGGAAGTCCTCAAGCGAGATGCTTGGTGTGTTATTGCCTGTTTCCCCAGAATCAGCCCCTTTCTTCCTTCGCCTCCTACTGTTTTTACTCTTATTTTATGTCCTCTTTTAGTGTCTTCTTCCTCCACTTTGACCTCTTCTGCCTGAACTCTTTTGCAGTAACTCCACTATTTCATCCTATAGCACTTTATTAAGCTGTTTCAGCAATTTCTGATTTATTGCACCATTTCGCTTACAGCTGAGCAGTTTGTACAAGAAAACACACAATGAAACTATGTGTGATTCAAACAGCAATAGACAAACATGACACATATTTGAAAATAGTCTGACTCCCATCAAGGTCACGTTTTATATCACAGTGCAAAATTGAATGTGACTGCCGGCAGAAAAGCACATCAAATTAAACCAAAGTTTTCCGCTTTTTAAAAACATTTTTTGCCCCTTACTCTCCCTGTACCTCTTTCTAATTTTCTTCCTCCCAGGTAGCAGACACGTATACGATGCCGACAAGTGATGGCCCCGGCCGCTTCCCTGTGTTTGTGGCTCCACCTCACGGCAACCATCAGAGGTGTCCAGGCTATGTTCCTGGGCGAGTGGCTCCAGTCCGCTCACCGCCACCTGCCAAAGCTCCACCGCCTCCACCGATAAAACCTCATGGCAGACCGCCGGCTCAACAAAACACATTCAGCTTGTCAGTGGAGAACCAGCGCAGGGAGCGTGCTCAGAGCCTAAGGCAGCGAAAGAACACTCTCATATGCTTTGGAGTATCGTTGGGTGCTTTCTTCCTCACTCTTATTCTTGTCCTTAGTCTCACAAGTGGAGATGTGTTAGATGGTTAGTATCACTGATTTAAAGCTTTCAGATTTTTATGTATTTCTTTATGAAACCCATGGCTTCTCAACTTGCTGCAACTCCCTGCTGTAAAAAACATTTCTGCACATTTTTTTTGTATATTCTTGTGTAATTTTAACTATGAGGTTTCCAGATTTGTCACTAATTGGTCATGTTTGCAGAGAATTGCCCAGACCACAACCCATCCCTTAGTGGCTGGAATCCAGGACACCAACCAGAGAAGGCTGTTGTTGTCAGGAAGGGAAATTTGTTCAGATTGGATGCTTCTGCGACCTTCCTTTCACTTACCATCCAGTCAGGAGGTAAGCACATCAAGATGCATCATTTGTTCAGTAGCATTTAGAGTTGTAACACTGGGTGAATTCACACTTATCAGCTGTAATAACAAACATCTTTCAGCCAGTCGAGCTCAGTTTAGGAACTTTTGGATGCAATATTAAGCAAACAAGAACTTACCTGTGTTTTCTTTGACTTCTCACAGGCCGCGTAGTTTTTGCAGACAATGCTGATGGCTCCAAAAACATAACTTTGAGAACACATCACATCCTCATAGAAGAAGGTGGAGCCCTTCATATTGGTGCTCCCAAATGTCGCTACCGCTCTCATGCCGCCATTGCCCTTGTGGGCCGTTCTGACAGCAAGGTCGTCCCTGAGGTCCCCGGCTTTGGCCACAAGTTCATCGGCGTTAAGGGTGGTGGGACTCTGGAACTACACGGTACTGAGAGAGTTTCTTGGTCTCTGCTAACCCGAAGCATCCCAGCCTCCGGGCTGGCCACAGGGGGTTATGCCTTCCAGAGAAACTTCAGCCGAGGCATCAACCTGCGTGTTGTGGACCAGGATACAGCTGCCGTGGTGTTCTGTGAGCGATACGACACTCACGACTCCCGCAATGACAGTCGACGACTCACCCAGCTGCTTCGCTCCCTCCCAGCAGGCCGCATTGTCACACTGGCTATAGGAGACTCTGCCGTCAAAAGTCTTCTGGATGAAACCAAGAAGGCCATTGAAGAGAAACTCGGCAGCAGCTTCGTCTACGATCTCAAATACAGGTAAACACTGCCTCTGCATGAATATAAGAGATGTCTTGACAACCTGTAAATTGTGTATTTTTCAAATCAAATATGAATCCAAATACACAGAAATTGTTTCTTGATGTTGCCCTAGTTTATGTATGTGCTGTGTGGAAACATATGTGAGTGCGTTTGTGGCTCAGCTGGGTTGCAGAAGGTGCCAGCTCTCACAGAGTTTGTGTTGGTTCTCCATGGTGTGTTGACTGTGTAAGTCTTTGGGTGTGTTTTGTTTATTCTTTGTGTCCTGGGACTGATAAAGAAGGTTAATATGTTTTTGTTCAATAGTTAAAGTTAACTTTCTCACCTTTGAAGCTTCAATACTTACTCTGACAATACCAGTGTTTTGTTCCATGCCCAACCTCCTTGGAAAAAAAATCTGCTTTTGTGTATCTTCCTTTTCATTTGGGATGTTCCCTTGAATCCTTCCTTGTTATTTGTCTTCCTGTTTCCCTTGTGTTTCTGCTGTATCGTGTTCCACCAGAAAAGGAAGCACGTACAGGATAATGGGGTTATGGTCAGAGTTTCCAGGATTTGTGCAAATTGTGGCAATTCAGGACATTTCATGTCCCTCCTGCTCATGCCGTCAAAGGGACAGATACCAGAAATTTAGGGGAAAGGGTGTGACCTTGTTCACATCGGCCAAGCCTTTCAAAAGCTGTCAAAATTACAATGTTGACTTTTAATTGTACATGACCTTAGAGCTTTGGTTACTGTCCTTCCAACACGTGTATGTTTAAATTCAGAATTTCAGATATTTACTGCTTGGCCTGGTGGGAAACCCATTTGACTGAAAAGCCAAGTTCTTCTGCTGATTCTTCAGTGTTAGAGTTGGCCTTTGGGGATGGATATCAAGGCAACACTGAGATTTCCACACAAATGCCCACAGCAGAGTGGTAGAAATGGATCAGACGGTTGCACCCTGTGTATGTTCAGAGGTGCTTGTGTGAGTGCGTACCAGTAAGTTAAGGTTGTGCTTTATGTGGGTTTCTTGTGGTGGGAGGAAATCATATATTTAAGAGACAGGATGCGGTTTAATGTCTTATTAAATTCACACTATGGCAGGCTAAGCAATTTAAGGCTGAACAAGTTGGGTGGTAAAGGCATCTGACCTGTAGGATGGAGCAAAAGCATGAAGTGTCGATTAGTTAATGCCACATTAAGGTTTGTTGTGGGGAAACAGCAGGGGATGTGGTGCTTGTTTTTTCTGCATATTTTCATTATTTTGTATCAGTACTGTGAGAAAATAAGCACCTTGTGACGTATAACTTATGCCTGATTTAAAATATGAAGGAACAAATGACCACATTACAGACATACCTGTGAATTTCCACAGGTTCATTTCAGTGGTGTCAACCATCGTTCCTGGCACGGACACATGAATGTGTTGGCTTCAGTCTCGTGCCTGTTGACCCGTCTGTCTCTGATCTTTGTCTCTCAGGAGAGCATTCACGCATGCATAAACGCACTTCCAAGCTGGCCTGCAGTGAATTCACCTCCGGCCTCCACACATTTGCTATTCCGGCCAAACAATGAAGTTGTTAAACGCTGATAAGCATCAAATCAAGGATGTAGAACAAAGAAAAAGTGAAACGCCTGCTTTCTCTTATTCCCTTTCTGTTTTTCGAACAACTGCACTCTTCTGTTAGATTTAAATTGTCCACCACTCGTACAGGCTGTGAGGACAGAAAAGGGGCCTTCCTTGATTTTCCCCAGAAGGGCAACCCACAGAAAACCACACACTAGGGTGGTAATGACAGAACAGAGTGGATTCACATATGGATCCTGTTTGCGCATCAGTGGGGTGCACAGTTACAAGGCACAAGGTGTCTCATCTTCAAAAAGGCATGTTAAGATTGCCGTGCCGGTGAGAGCAATTATTATGAGCAGTCATATTATTAACACAGAGACAGATGTTGGAGGTGACAGAATCACAAATTGCTGCAGATATTTAAAGTGATTCTTCAGGTAAACATTGGAGTTGCTTTTGGTTGTGATTTATTTTTTGTGATTTAATTGTTTTAAAAATAGGTCTCTGAAGGGTAGACTTTGGCAAGATGTTCAGATATTCAGGCTTTGCTATTGTTCTATTGTAAATAAAATAAAGCTGGAGAGGTAAATTGTGGAATTGAATTTAGGATTGTTTACAGTGAATGAACTGGGCCAAGTAATGGCTCAGTGGAAACATGAGACTTCTGCTAGAATCACTTTTCTCCAATGTGAATGCACAATTGGCAAGTTAGATATGATTTCGTGGGTTCAACATGAATAGTTAAATTGTGTGAAAAGGTCATACTGGTGAGGGTCAGTTTGCATTCACAAAGAGTTTAAAGGTTAGGACACTGGTCTTAAAATGTTATTAACTCCATGAACCACAAAAGGCTTTAAACTTGTCTGGAGTCATTCAGCTAATGAGGGCAAGAGAAAAAAGCAGGAAGCCGTTCTTAAGAAGCTAAGGGCATGACATTTGAAACATCTTAGACTGTAAGTCGCTGTATTTTGTCTTGTTTTAGATCTTACGTCCTCCAAAAGCACACCCAGTCCCATTCCCCATCCACACCCTCCAGCTCCTCTGCTGACATGATTTCAGCCTCTCCTTATTTGATTCCATTTAAACATAATTTTCTTGACATTCCTGATTTATAAGATAGTGTGTAATAGAATAAAAAGGAAGGACATGAGGGGAAAGTTTAAAAAAAAAGAAAAGAAAAAAAGTCAGGGGTTATGTCAGGTACACCCGTTATTCCTCTGAGCCGTATGAACACCCTTCCTGAAGTCTCCTGTCGTCATTTTGCTAATCCCCTGACTTCTCTGATATCCTTCAGTCTACTGCCTTTCATTTTCTTTTTATTAATACATGACATTCCCACTGATATTCAGTTCTCCTCTTTCACCTCCTCTCGTGCGTCAGGCTTATCACAACTGTTTGCGTTTGTCACACCAGTGACCGGTTGAATCTCTGGTTTAGACGCCCTGCTTAAGTGTCTGTCTGTTATGATCTGCAGTGTCTGGACTCAGTGGAAGAGGTTTATATGTGTTATTGACATGCCGTCACCTTGAGCCCTGATACAGAGAAACAGAAACTTTATTCTTCTCTGTGAGGTTCTGTAAACCTTCTGTCCTGTTTACATTTTCACTTAAATCCTCCTAAACCGACACTGGTCCTTGTACTCTGGTGCTGCTTCCACCTTCAGTGGCTCAACATGTTGCTCATGGTCATCTGTCACAAATAATTTGACATGTTTGGTGCAAAGTTCTGATCTTATTAACGGTATTTGACATAAATCTGGAAAACAAGAAAAAAAAAATAACACCATTATTTGAGTGTGTGTGGGCGTGTAAATGCACAAAAAATAGCTGGGAAAAAGGTTCAAACAAGTTATGTAATAATGAACCAGTACTAAATGTTGACAATGAGTTACAGCCACACTTCAAGATGCTTTTTGTCATTTAAAGTAATTATGGAAAACTAAGCTCTATAACATGAGCGTTTGCTTTTCTTTAATACTGACTTTTTTAATACTGATCCTTTTTGTCTGTTCAGACAGGCGTGGGCTTTGGTCTCTGTGGTAGGTGGTGGTAACGCGTCATGCTCTGAGGATGTTAAGGAACATGAAAACCACGACACGGGAGGCAGAGCTCTGGCAAGACGCAACTTCACCACCGTAGATGGAGTGGGCTTCTCTGTCACTGCCTACAGCGAGTGGAAGAACGGTGAGAAACAGCCTGTGATGGAATCAGTTCAAAACTAATAAAATGTATTTCAAGAAGTGTTGATAACAATTTCAATGATACAGTAATTGTGCAATTACTCAGTGTCGTTCAGTGTAGGTGGTCTATATCTGATGCTGCAGAGTCAGTAATTTACAGACTTTTCTTCAGAATTGGTTCTTTCTTTGATTCATAACATCTCGGTGGTTATTAAACTATTTAGAAACCAAAATGTAAATTATTGCTCAGTGGAAATAAATTCACTGCACTGGGCAGAAACACACGCTGTGCAAATGATTTAGTTCTCCCTAACTTTTATTCTTTCTCATCTACTTTTTGATTTTCCCCACTTAATGACTGCTAAAAATAGATGGAGTAATAGTGTTTTGCTACAGTTGTTATGGAAACCTAAGTCCATGGGAATGGAATTTTTGTATTTATTAGAAGAGAGACATTGTAAGATCATTGCAGTGTCAAACATCCTGACTGTCAATGTTGGCAATTATCACTTAATTCCTTAAAAAAAAAAAAGTTCTGACACATATTTATTATATTTGTCCTGTTCTCTGTTTTGCTATGCTTTGCCTCAGGGAGGGGTATAAAGTAATTAAGTACATTTACATTTACTCAAGTTCTGTACTTAAGTACAATTTAAAAATACTTGTATGTAATCTGAGTATTTCTTTTTACTATACGCTTACATTTATCAGATCAATTTTGTTGTTAATTACTTGCAAGATGAAGATTTCAACCTTTGCGACTTCTTATAAAAGACAGTAAGTAGTCGGGATCACATTTCAGATGCTTGTGAGCTGTTAACAGTTCCATCAAATATCGTTTTTCCTTCTAAACTTCACACATGGTTTCATTTCAATAAATGTTCAAATGATTGGATGTCTCACCAAAAGATTGGAGAAACGTCCACAAAATTGAAAACAGATTTCTGTATCAGATCTTTGCTATTTCTTCTTTCCTCTGCCGTGACTCATCTGATGACCTATCCGATTTATCTGCTGTCCCTGTATATAAAACAAAAAATGAAGCAGTTCAAACTAGCTCCACCTGCAGCAGCTACAACAGTAACGTGTGCTTTATTCACTGGCGCTTCAGTATTAATAATCTAATAATGTCATATCAGTCAGAGAGACCAAACTAGAACTTTTACTTTAATACTTTAACTACATTCTGGTGCTAATACTTATTTGCTTTTACTTAAGTAACATTTTTTTGCAGGACTTGTACTTGTAATGAAGTATGTTTACATTGCTGTATTGGTACTTTTACTCATGTAAATGATTTGTGTACTTCCTCCACTACTGGCTTCTTGTTTACTTTAGTTTAAATGCTATGCTATACTTTCCAGGCTTCCCCATCTCAGGTTTCCAGGTGGATGCTGTGGACCAAGTGGTGCTAAACCTGCAGGATGAAGTGCAGCAGACCTGGCAACCAGGGGATCAGGTTGTAGTTGCTAGTACGGACTACTCCATGCACCAGGCTGAGGAGTTTACCCTGTTGCCCTGCCCCCACTGTACCAGCCGACAAGTCAGGATACAAGGTAAGAGAGAGGGCAGTGGCGTGCATACAGAGAGAGTTGTTTTGGCTTGGTTTTTGCAAACCACAAGTTGCTTTGGCTGTAAACTGTCACTGTTTATGCGCTGTGAGTCCACTCCATTCATGTGTGTGAGCTCCAACCATAGACAGTACCAAAAAATGTCTTGTATGATAGAAAGAACCAGGAGGAAAAAATGTAGAAATACAGTACAGACATAGTTCTTATTATGTAGCTTGTGAGATGACTAGAGATCAATGTTGTGCCAGCAAAAGCAAAAGGAAGCAAGGACACTTCATTATGGTCAATAAATGTGATTAGCAGACGTAATGCTATTAATCCTTAGGTCCAGAGGGCTCTCATTTCCTTTTCAGCTGTTATGGTTATGTAAGATTATTGGAGGAGGCTAAAAAGACATGAGCTTCCATTTTAATAGTAACCTCATCTTATAGCAACCACAGGGCTTGCATGGATTTGGATGCCTTTGCGTCACATCCTCCTACCTTCCTCTGCTCCTTTAATGTTCTTCACTGGCTATCTGTTAGTTACTCTTCGTACATCTCGCTATCAGAAATGTTTCCTGATCTCATTCCTCTGCTGTCAACAAACGACAACTCCCTTCCTGGAGAGAAGGGTGTATCATTGTGTGTGTGGGCCTGGTTTTGTGTTGCTGCCATGAGGAGAGGCTGAGCAGCTGGAGTATGGGCTAGGAATTATCACTGGCAGCTGCACCCTGTGGACAAGGGTACTTTCCGCATTGTTGAAGAACTGATTATTTAGTGTTTCATATGTATTTGATTAATTTTGCTTTTACATGTCTGTTATTTTAATTTGTTGGCTGTGGGGTGTGGCCAGTTGTTAATGTTGGAGTGGGCGCCGCTAAGCACACATCCTGTGGTTGACAGTTGACAGCGTGGTATTTTTAGTAAAATATAGGTGCCACTACCTGTTTGTTTCAATGTTTTGTTTTCAAGCCGTTATTTTAGCTTAAAGCTGTGAGTTTCAGTATGACACGTGCCACCTCAGAACAAGAATTTGTAGTCAGATTGTGCGTTATTAAGCAAAACTACATCGGTTTCCTTCAGCTATACTTTCATTTGTGGTCCTCCAAAAGGATGACATGCACCTTTTCCTGGATTTGTCCAACATATTTTTCTGTAAGAATCTCACTTTGTTGTTGCATTTGATAAGGAATCTCTTGATTTTGTGCTTTCAGGGAAGCCTCAGTATAACCATGTTGGCGAGATCGTAGATGGAATCGACATGCGTGCTGAAGTGGGTCTGCTCTCCAGAAACATTCTTATCTATGGAGAAATGGAAAACTCCTGCTACGGAAATAACATGTGCCAGTTCTACAGCCACGACACCTATGGAGGCCACATCAAGGTATGTGTTGTGTGTGTGTGTGTGTGTGTGTGTAATTTTATAGCACCGGCCCCTTGTTTAGACTGTACTGTATGTCTGCATTTGGTGATGTATGTTTCTAAATGTCTTGGCATGACTTAACGTTCTCATTAAAGGTCACTGCAGTAATATGTTGGACAGTTTCCATACTGTGAAAGTGTGCATACACTCTGTAATTAAATGCTGTCCTAAATAAGAGGGGTTATTCATGTTCCCAATTCAGTTTATATGAAGTTCTCCTTTCCTTCTTACTCCCTTTCTCTTTCTTTTCTCCTCCATTCTGTCTCAGATGTCAAGTTTTAATTTTTTTTTGCCTGATGCATACCCTTCAGAGGACCTACACTCTATAAATGTGAACAAACACTGAAGACAGATTAGGGTCACACACAGCAATAACTGGAGCAATCTATCCTCTCTGTCCCACATGGATCTCTACATAGTCAGTGAGTTCACTGTAATTTGGTAAATGAGGGTATGAATCCATTCACATTGGTGGCAAATACACAATAACATTCCTTGGACTCTATGTAATTTGCCCCCTTTGTGCTAAACAAAATAAACACTTTATTCCCCATGTTAACTTTTCTATTTTTTTGAAAGGGAAGAGCACATTCACTTATATTACACAATTTTCCTCGAAAATGATTGCTCCATCTAGATTAAGATATAAAGCTTTTGGCAGTGTTGTCAGTCTGTTGTGTGTGCTAGAACTTATACGTGTGTGTGTGTGTGTGTTGGCTATATGCAGCAGGTATTGAGCTTCCTAATGCTTGAGGCAGCTTGGGCAGCATATATACTGTAGGAACTGTCTGTATGCATGTGTATGTGTAAGTTAGAGAGAGGACGAGGGAGCTGGTCAGTATGTATGTGTGTATTCGGGTGAGTTTCAGTTTGCTGAAAGGATTGGCCAATACCTTCTTAACAGGAACCAGACACTGTGGATTATGCCATACCCACAAAAAGACCTCCTAGAGAGCATTGTACAGCATATTTGTATTGTATGTTTCATTGACGTTCGTGTTTGCCTGTTTGCTGTGTGCCTCTCTAATGTATGTGTGTTTAGCTTTTAGTGTTTGCTTCTACAACTTACATCTATTATTCATTAACATGAGTGGCTTTGGAGCAGTTTGATGCACTGTAGTATGATGCCAACAGAGCTATAGTACACATCCCAGTGGGATCATTGACAAACACAGAGAATCATACTGTAGACATAAAGCTTTAATTTATTTTTCTACCATGTCAGCCTACTTTCGTGGAATGAACCTCATGTTGCCAGTGTTTGGTCAATTTTAAAATCCTGTCTTTATTAACTTTTCCAGCCTTTCTTTGTTCTCTAACATCTACAGATCTTAGGTAACTTCTCGTCAGTGCATCTGTCCCACGTGGAGCTGAAGAACATGGGTCAGCAGCGAGAAAAAAGCCGCTACCCCCTCCACTTTCACATGTGTGGAGATGTCGACCAGAGGGGAGGATACTGGGAGCCCACGTATGTGGACGGACTCTCCATTCACCACTCCTTCTCACGCTGTCTCACCATCCATGCCACCAATGGTTTGCTGGTTAGTAAAGTGTGTGTGTGGATGGAGGAATAAATGAATGGACCTTTGAATGTGGAGACAACAGGTGTAGGCAGTCAGATTACCCATCAATAACAGCCTCAATCACTAGATTACTGTCATTGCTTGTGTCTTTCTTTCTTTTATTTTATTTGGCCTTTTCTTTGATCTTGTTTGTCAAACCCTGCCTGTGCTATCTTTTTCTCCATTATAGAGTTTCTTGCAGTCTTACTGGACAGATGTAGCTTTTTTTCCTTGCTGGATGCGTAAAATCACATAATCCATTCCCACAAGTACATTGTTTGATAAGCTGTGGAGTCACAGCGTCTGTATGTGGCCCTGGTGTTTGTGCACATGTTGCTTACTTGAGTGTATGTGTGATTCGCACTTTTCTTGACGTCAAATGGTGATAGGTTAACCTTTCTTCATGAAGCCATAGGTTTGACGCACTCTTCCAAACTTCAGAGAGGAGATGGAAATCCAAGTTTTGGATAGTATTGTTTGACTTGGCCGTTTTCCTGTTTCCCTTCCGGCACAATCAGCGTGTGAATATTCTCTTGTGTATTTCCTTTAGCAGCCCTCTTTATACTATCTTTCTCTACATACCTTCATAATAAAATCTGTTCTCAGAGGGATATTCATTCAGGAATTTTAAGTATTTAAAAGGCCAGGCACACCTAGCAGTTGGAACATACTGTGTTTTCCTGTGGGGTGTTAATGATTCCAAGGTAGACTAACTAATGTTGTCCTAACCCTCTTGTTTACCAAGATTTTTCACATATTTGGATAAAAACTGCCTTTTTCCTTGGAAAGGAAGTGCTGTGAAAGGGATAGTAGTGCATTTAGTTTTTCCCTCCAGCCAAGAGCTCTGCTGTAGTCTGTTTGTGCACTTTGTGCTCATAATTATTCTGTTTTGTGTTTTGTGGTCTTTTTTTTTTTTGGCCCAGGTCAAGAACACTGTCGGCTATGACACCTTGGGCCACTGTTTTTTCCTTGAGGATGGGATTGAGCAACGCAATACTTTCTTTCACAACCTTGGCCTGCTGACTCGACCTGGAACTCTGTTGCCCACTGATCGCAATGAGACTCTGTGTACAAGCATTAAGGACAAAGTCTACAAGGGCTACACTCCCTCACCCAGCACAGAGTGCAAGTAAGAGATAAGGATAATGAATGTATATTTATAATTAGAGAAATAAGCATTTACCAATTTATTTAATCTTACATGTGGGTGTAAAAATCTGTCATTTATTTTTATGTATCAGTGTTATTTTTTACTGTCATCCCTTATCATGGTGTGGTATTGTTATAACCAGTGACATACATATAGAGGTGCATTTTTGTTTATAGCAGCAAAGACACAGGTGCTATATTTTATTATTCTTTTAAAATAAAATAGCTGCGATTCAGAGACCCAGAGGTCTTGTTAAGCACTATTAAGCGCACAGCTTGATATTTAAGAGGGGAAATAGTCCACTTTTAAATGTATCCATGTCAGTGTCACAGTACATCCTTGACTCTGGAATCAGCATGAGAAACTTGGTGGGTTAGTGCGGACATACTTTGACAGAAAACAGATGGTCCATGGGTATGTGCGAGAGATAATGTACTTAGCAATCGTGTGCGACACAGTTATTGGCAGGATGGTTTTATCCATGCAATAACAGCCTCTCCTCTCCATGGGATGTTTTATGTCGTAGTAGGAACAAGAAAAGTGCCTCTGTGAAGGCAAGCAGCAAAGTCTGTTTCCAGGAGTTTGTGTGTTGTGAGTCTTGGCAGTGCTGTTCCTGACCAAGGCTTATGTTGGAGTGGTGGCTTATTGAGGGAATTCAGAACGATCACAAGATGCTTTGATCTCTGTCTTCTCCTTATTAGTCATAGTTTCTGATATGCCAAGGTACTGTCTTTTTAATATCTCTTTTTAATAACTTTCAGTGTGTAATTGTGTCTTTGTCTCTGTGTGTGGTGGGGGTGTTTTCCAGGGCAGTCTCAACATTCTGGATTGCCAATCCCAACAACAACCTCATCAGCAATGCAGCTGCTGGTTCTCAGGTAATAACATGAGAGTTATGTAATAAAACGGCCTCAAGTTGACTTTTCTCTAATGATTAAGAAAAAATGAGTCACCTAAAAGAAAAGCCCCTTATTTGTGTATTAGCTGTTACTGCTCTGGCTTTGGTGTTCCTGAACATAATAAAAATTCAAAACTTCATGCTCATAACAAAGTGATCCATCAATAAAAGAGGATTTAACAGGCTTTTGTGTTTGATGTAGTGGTACAATAATAAAGTGGAACCTCGGAAATTAGGAAAAGAAGATGTCTCATTACATCTTCTTTTCATTTCGCTAACGATGTGGATGTCCACAGGGGATGTTATGAAGTGTACTGCTTTTTGGTTGGGGGTATTTGTGTGTTATTTAGGTTGTCTTCTCCATATCAGATGAGCTGCAAACTTTAATAAGCCACTGAGCTCCTATGAAGTCCGTCTTCTGGTTTATTCTTGCTGTGAGACTTGAGAGAACTATGACATCCTGCCTTGCTCCACATATTGTTTCTGTATGTACTACCATCTATAGGCTGATTGTATGTAAGCCAAGATAATGAAATTCCTGCTGTTGTGCAGCTGCAATATGAGCATGATTTTTCTTTATTACCTTTTTCTGTATTCTTCCTTCCCTTTCCAGGACGCGGGCATATGGTTTGTGTTCCACAGCTCTTCCACCGGAGACTCTCATGGGCTGGTACCAGAGACCAAAGCAGAGCTCACTCCTTTGGGAATTTTTTACAACAACCGTGTACATTCCAACTTTAAGGTACTATTAGTATTGCTTGTCAGTGTGCTTTCTTCCACGTATGCGTTATATACATTATAGTATGCCATGTGGTGCCAGACCTCTCTGTGTTGTCTCTTTCTGCCTCTGTCTTCTTATAGAGACAAGAGAAACACAGTGTTTATATATAACTTCCAAAAAAACCCAAAACATTGTGCATAATTCTCTGCTTACTCACTTGACTAAAGAGGCATGGAGACACATGCACACGCACGCCAGCAGGTTCTACAATGGTGCTCTGTTGTGTAATGACAGAAGTCGGGCAGGTGAACTGTAAGTTCTTTGTCCAGTCTGACCACAGTAGCCTCTCTTATAGAGGAAGGAGTCGTGAGGTTTGAGACTATACCTCGCTTATACCACAAGACCAGCTCAGAGCACAGGTTTCCATATACATAAACACATACAGACATATTACATTTTCCCCTAATTTATTTTACAACTCATAATTTAAACATACAAAACTAATTCCTGTGTTGTAGAGTTATGTAAATATACAGTCCACCTTCATATACAGTATAAATTCCTCACAGGAATTCCGTTTGACACTTTCCCTGCTTCTAGCAGTACTCTGTACAGGATTGAGCCTATAACGCTGTCGGGCCAGAATTTAAATTTAGTACATTTATTATCGCCTTGGGTACCACACTATAAAATATTTTCAGAGTCTTGTTTATGTCGGCCCAACAGAAATCTTCCTTCTAAACTGTAGTTTTAGAGAAAACTCAGCGTTTCATTGTAATCGTGCTTTTATCTTTGTAGGCAGGACTTTTCATTGATAAAGGAGTGAAGACCACCAATGCAAGTGCTGCTGACCCCCGGGAATACCTGTGTCTAGACAACAATGCAAGGTGTGTAAGTGCGAAGAGTTTATCAATATCGGTATGGACATCTGAATTAGTTAGCAGTGAGTGTTAACAAATGGATAACGATTTACAACTGACCTTAAATGTTTTTGCACATAGCCTTTAACTGTGCCCTAAAAGGGTCTGTGGTGGGCTATCATATGCATCATGGTGTATAGTTACCCTGTGTAAATATTCAGGTATTTGTGGTTTACTTAATGCCACTGTCAATAACTGTGCATGAATCAAGTTATTTATAACTCCCTGTTGTATATCTACTAGGATATGACCATTGACAGGCATAGATAGATGGCTTTATAGCGTGTTACTGCATTTTAGGGGAAGGTCTGTCAGCTTGGTGTTGACTGAGAAAACAAGTCTTCACAGATAGAGTTTCCACTCTGCAGCTCCCTACCCAAATACAGCCCTCAACTAGATGGAAAAAATCGTATGTGTCCACTGAGACTGCTGGCCACGCTCTGTGTATATCTGTGTGTGTCTGCATGTGTGCAGAGGCAGGAGGGGAAGGATTTTAAATGTTAAAATGTGTGCGAGTTCACGAGAGAGAGGGAGATTTGTGTTTTGTGAATGTAAGACACGCTAGAAAAAGGATATCAGACTGTAACAGTTTTAAGGGAATGATTCCGTATGATTTACGTGATCCTCTGAGCAGTAGTCTAGCTCCACATTCAGGTCAAAATATTCCCTTGAGCAACACTTTGTTCCTTTTACAAGGTATTTTTTAAAAATAACAGCCACACATGCCACCATTAGCCTGAAAAAAAGAGGACGAGCTCTGTCCACTTTTGAAGAGTACATTTTTTTGGTTGCTTTTTAAGCCACATTATCAACTTTGCACAGACTGTCTTCGATAATATAATGGGTGGTTTTGCATATAAAACAACATTCATGCTCCCAAGGGGGATAAAATCTAGTGTGTGCAATGATGCCATGTCCTTTCCTGTAATGCCACCCTCAGGATGCAGTGCGGGAGGCAAGGAACCCTGCCTGCGGTCTCTAGAGCTCAACAATAGTGTTTGAACTTTTAGTCTGGATGTCAGTAATTTCTGTGCAAATTTATAAAATGATGACACAATAATAACTGCGTGTGTTTTCTTTTGTGCCCACGGCCTACATAAAGACCACATGTGCTGAGAAATTAGGGGGTAAAATCACTTTGATGCTCTAATAGGGGATAAAAACTTGAGAGGCAGTGAATGGAAAGTCATAAGAACAACAGCAGAAACCAATACAGCAAGATTAGAAATGAAAAAATAAATAAAAATTAGAAATTCGAAATGTTTTCATTGTACTCAAATCTATTCAACAATTTCCCTGAGGTAGCATACCAAAGGGATCAATAAAGTTCTATCTATCTATCTATTCATTGTCCTTTTTCAGATTCCGACCTCACCAAAACGCTGACCCCAGTCGTCCTCGGGTGGCTGCAGTCATCGACACTCTGATCTCCTTCAAGAACAACGACTTAGGAGCGTGGATACGAGGTGGAGACATCGTCATCCAGAACTCTGGGTGAGACGGCTCAAAGACTGTGATTCAGTTTTTGTCAGCCTAGTAGTCAGCTCGTAGTCTTCCAAAAAATGTAGGGCAGAGGTTTCTAGTAAAATAATGTCAGAATTGTGTCATCACAACATAAACTGGGCTGATGATATGTGCTGGAAAAATGATGCAATCCTACCACAAATTGATGTTGTGACATTATCTGGTCTTTGTAATGCTCTGATCCTGACTCTTAACATTGGCATCCACTTTATGTTCAACACTGATGTGTTTCATATCCCACTGGTAACATTGGATTGATAGTTTCATATTTTTTAAATTACCTGACATCATTTTGAACAAACGACTCCACTCTGTTTAATTGCTACTTTGGTCACTTCCAGTCTGTCTTTGTTTATTTTATTAATTGACATTTTGTAAGACTTACATGTGATTCTTTTGTTGTTCTCTAAACAGCTTTGCCGACAACGGAGCAGGGCTGTCTTTTGCCAGGTGCGTACTTATCTAAATCACCCCTCCTTTAGCAGTTTTGTGATTTTCATTTGACCATTTTTGCTTTTCTTCTTCTCCTGCCAAACGGATTTGCCAAAAAACCATTTGTGATTGATAGATACTGAACACAGAAGAGAAACTTAAAACTTGCTGTGTGGTCGCAAGCATACCTTTATTCATAACACACTGCTTTTTTTTTTTACTGCTGACTCGAGCCCTGAAAAGTATAAATCTCTATATTGTTACATATGTGTTTGATATAATACTACATGCCCTTATCATCTTATTCTTTAGTGATGGCAGCTACCCGAAGGATGAAGGCTCCAGCCAGGAGGTGACGCAGTCCTTGTTTGTGGGTGAAAGTCGAAACCGAGGGACCAATGGGGGACAGAACAAATACTGGGGAGTTGGAGGCACTGATGGAAAGATGAGGACACTGCCTAGAAACAGGTGAGGGGGAGCAAACAGGGAGACATGATTTATTGAATGGAGGAAGGATATTTGTAAGGTACAGAGGAAAAAGTGTATGTCAAACTGAGTATTCTCAGGAGTAGCAGGCTGGAGGAGCTGCCAGAGAAAAATATGCTGGGAAAAACAAACAAGGAAGAGAGAGCCAGCACGGCAATCAGGTAGTTGGACAGATGGACAGATGAGGCTGCTACAGCTGCTTTTAGCTGGAGGCGGACTTGTGAAAGGAAGTTCTGTTTTGAACAACTTCCCTCCAGTGATATTTTGGGCAGTTTATGAAGAACTGTGGTAGCATCATGGACAGAGTTTCTGTGGAAGGGAACACTCATTGCAGAGTTTGGTTTGGTAAGAGCGAGGCGATTAATCTCTCTAGGATTTCAGGCTTTGGACATAGCCCTCGTCATTTTCAGGGAGATTCCTTTTTTGTTTTTAGCATTTTGAGTACTAAGAAGGAGACATAAAAAGATCACATTATTGGTGTGTCCAGCAGATGGATGTTTGACATGGCCAGTGTCTGTCGTGCCTCAGTTTTGTCACACAGACAATGTCTTTAATTGGACTTCCATTACATGAAGTTTATAGTCTCCCAGTGCTCTAATAGCAAGTCCCGCTTAGTAGACTGTCCTAATGAGAGTTTAGTTCCCCTCATGTCCCCACAGGATCTCCTGGTACTTCTTTCTGTCTTTCTTTCTGCTGTTAAAGAATTTGTTATACATGAGTAGACCAACATGAGCAAGGCACCGGCAAATAGCTACTTTTTTTAGTTTTAAGAACCAGGGTGTCAGTTTGTGACCGCTGTGTACAACTTTACAACTATTTTATAGGCTCCCTGACCGCACTGTGACATCTGGCTCGCTTGGTTTGTCTGTCGTCATTGTGGTTACTGCCAAAGCTGCTGACACTTTTTTTTTCTTGCCAGAGAGAAGATAGTTTTCCTAAAATGAGGACAGTTTGCTGTTTTTAGAGCACACAAGACTAGCCTAATTGTGTGTTCCTCGCTTTGCGACACCAATTATGAAAAAAATGAAATCAATTGTTCAGTCTGAGATCTTTGTGTAATGACGGGTACATATTTTTCATTAAAAAACAGAAAAGAAAACAAGGAGGCAAAAAAAAAGGTTAAAATCTGATTGTGTGATCTGTTTTTCTATTTTTTTTTTTTACTAACATGTCTTAGAATAACTTTTACCACTGTGCTGCATCGACCATAACTGTATTGCTATTGTCGACACAGTTGAAGTAATTTTACATTTCTTTACATTTTCTCCCTTTCATGCCTTGCTGTCAGTTATCTTGCCTGATCTTGTCCTTAATCTCCTACCTCTCTAATGCAGGACGTTCCCAATCCGAGGTTTCCAGATCTATGATGGTCCCGTGCGGCTAACGCAGAGCACGTTTCGTGGATTCATCCCCACACCAGAACGTTATACCAGCGCAGTGGGATTCAACTTGAAGAACACCTGGCAGCTCACCCCACGGAACAACCTGTCCCAGCTCAGCTTCCACTCCACTGTGAGTAAACATCTAGGGTGGATAGGACTTTAGTAGAGGTATAATAAGCATGTTAAAGAGTTGAATCTGATGTAAACATGTGTCCATGTTGTAAATATTACATTTTTGAAGTGAATTAACATGTGAAGTAGTGTGAGCCTGTTCAAACTAAGACTGTCAATCTCCATACAGCTGCCACTGAGAACCAGTCCACTTGTATGTCTTCAGACATATTAACTCTGTTATAGTATATTCTGTCATGTTTGACTGTACTTTTGCCCACATTAATATGATAATACTTTATGATAGCTAGTGATCATTTCTAGCTATTCTTCGTTGATGCTTTGGTCATGTGACATTTTGGGGTACTCCCATGTGACTTCTGTGCCCCATTTTTGACTGTTTGTTTTGTCAGCTCTTTTTTGCTTTCTTGATTTTGTCTTCCTTACTCTCCATTTTTTGCCTCTTACTTTTTTGTTTTTGTTATTTTTTTTTGGTCTGCGGGTAAACTGCTGGTAAGACAACAGTTGTGAACTCTACCTGTTATGATGGATTATTTTTAAAAAGTATTTTTCTTTTCTTTCTTTTATCACCACTTTGACCCAGTGTAGAATCCTCTCGGTCCTCTGTGTTTGATTGTGTCCTCTTTAACACTGCTCATTTCCCCCCCTGCAACTATCTTCACATACTTCATGTATCAAGTCAGAATCTTGGCTGAATTAGAGGTGGGAGTTATTCAAGGTAGACAGAAGTCAAGAGAAGACAAGGGGACCCCATTCAGAGTTACCCCTATAGAGAATTATTGTAAGTCACTGGTGCCCTCTGGTGGTGACATAGTGTAATGCATTTTCTTTGCTTAAAATTAAATTAATTTCTTTAAAATTAAATCAGATTCTTTATGTATCTTCAGCTCATTAAATATGATTTCTTGAACCATAATGTTAATAAGATAGTCATCCTTAACATACAATATATATATCCAGCCCCCAAAATGCTATGCTTAAGTAATGCAGCTATGCAACCCTCTAAAAAAAGTACTTAGATTTGTAGATACAATCAGATTTTTACCTGGCAAAGAGATACAATGAAGGTACATATGACTGGTGTGAGAGCATCTTTAAAACTGTAAGTTGATATCCTTAATAAAAACTATGCTATTAGAGAGCAATGTTTTTTTTCTTCTTTTTTTTTTGTAAAACTTGCAAAGTCTGTGGTTTGTGGAAAATTGTATTTTATTTAAATAGCAGGCTTGATTTCATATTTGTCTCTCGTGGGAGGACAGAAATTATCATAATGGAAATGTATAAAGCTAATGGCCACATTACATTGATGAAAAGTAATTACAGAGTAAATAGCAGCTGGGTTGGCAAGTGCACTCTCTAATAGATATTTACTAGAAGAAGCACTGAAGCAAGCAATAATTCTCTGAATTGGTAAACAGTGACAGAATGTAAATTGAAACAGTCTTTACAAATACTTTCCTCAGGTGGGTCTGCGGGCATTCTTTGGTCGCCCAGGACAGTGGTTTGAAGAGAATGACCTGGACGGCGACAAGAACTCCATCTTTCATGATGTGGATGGGTCAGTAACGGGCTACAGAGATACGTACGTTGGCCGTGCAGACAATTACCTGATCCAACATCCTGGCTGTGTAAACCTGGCCCAGTGGAATGGAGTGACCTGCAGCGGCCGCTACTCTCAGGTACAGCGCTTCAGGGTCTAGACCTCATTTGTTGTTCTGTGCTTCTGTAAAAACTCTCTCTGACCATTACACCTCCCATCATCCTCGTCATCTTCAGGTGTACATCCAGACGCAGGGAGCCCCTAGCCTTAGTTTGTCCATCAGCAGAGATGAATACCCTAATGCTCCTCTGGTACTGAGGGGCATTAACAGCCAGGGGGCGCTGTCTCAGCAGTACCAGCCCATTCTTATGATGAGCAAGAGCTACACACTGCACTGGAGCGGAGCTGCGCCCAGAGAGATCGTCCTCTCTCTCATCAACTTTGATAAGTGAGTAAGAAGAATTAAGCCGCATCTATCTGTGTGACCAGTGCTACTGCAAGTCAGGGGATGTTTGTACTATGTTGTAAATGAGTATATATCATTGCATTAAATTACTTTTTCCAGCTTAAGACCGCATTTACAAACCAAAAAGTTGTAGTGCTTCTTATTAGTCTGAAATAATAAAGTACAATGTCTCTGTCTTCTCACACTCAGAGATGATTGGGTGTTGGTGGGACTCTGTTACCCATTGGACACCACATTTCAGATCATGGCTGACATCAACGACAGGCAAAGCAACACCTTTGATGAGATTACAGACTATGGCACTGTGTCGTCTCTTGCACAGCTGGAGAATAAACCAATGGAAAGAAAGTACTTCTTTGATCAATCTGTTGGGTGAGAAAACAAAAGTCCAATCCTCAATTTCTAAGTTTCTCTGAACCATCTCTTACACACACACACACTTGAACTTTTAAATGTTACAGGGTGCACAAAGAGTCAAGAGTGGGTTTGGGAATTTAAGGGATTTAGTTTGGCTTTAAATGCTAATTTACATCAACACATCAAGGTCAACCTTCGCACAGTGATGGCTGAGCAGTCTGAAATATATTTAAAGTTTTCATTTCAGGTATTTTCATCTTTTGTCTTTTCGTTTGTGAATGTTTATTGTAATCTCCTGTGCTCCTTCCACCATTCTCAGCTTACTGTGGCTGTACCTTCGTGCCCGGCATGGCCGAGACGGTCACAGCTACTGTTCAGTAAAAGGCTGTGAAAGAGTGAAAGTCATGGCCACTACATCCTCCAAACAGACCTGTAACTGTACAGCCAAAGCCTACCCCAAGTACTCCAAGACTCCCTCAGCAGTGGTGCCAATGCCGACTCTGAACACACAACCCTGCAAAGGCTGCGGTGCTCAAAAGGTTTGTGCTGCTGCATTTAACGTGACCTCAGTTGAGCCACATTAAACAAAAGCCACTGCTGCTGATCAATGCATTTCTGTCTCAGCTCGTGTTTTCCAGTGAGCCATGGACCTCCTACCTCCAGACACAAATCAAGTCTCTCAGCAGCAAAGAGCAGCAGAGAGATAACACCTCCTTTATCACTGTGAGCACATCAGGCTGCAAACAAATTCAAAGGCTTTGTCTTATCTTTAATCAGAGTTTATTTAACCTATTTTTTTCCTGTGACCCGCCAGGTGAATGAGGTGACCATGTCTTTCTCACAGCGTGGGTTTTTCCTGGTCTCAGTGGATGCCTGTTCTGGAAAAGTCACTAAGAAAACCTCATTTGCCAAGATGGATGCCAAGATGGAACAGTACCTAAAAACTGGAATACCAAAGCGGTGAGCCAGGGAAAACAAGATTGACTGATTGATTTTTTAAAAATCCTATTTTTATATATATTGGGTTTTTTTTTGGTTTTTTTTTAAACATCTATTTTTACTTTTCCAAAAAACAGCACAAGATATATAATTTGCATACCTACCCGTTTCTTTCCTCCAGGTCAATAGTGCTCATGGCAACCCGAGGTCAGCCAGAAGGCCTGTCGGCGCTTGCACCGTATCTGGTCTCCTTTGGTTTGGCCAAAGCTGCTGATCTGCATGAAAAAGGTTAGTGACACGCTTCATTGTTTCCCCTTCCTTGTCTGTCTAGTAACTGTATTTTAAGTGTCTTTTTCTCTTGTTGCTGCCTCTCACCACAGAGAGTTTGGCACTTTGGGGCTTCCTGGGTGGTTCTTCACCTCCTTCGTGGGTTTCACTACAAGCCGGGCAAGGGGATGACTTCTTGGGGCTGCAGGAGCGCTACTTGCCCCTGGGTTTGGAAGTATATGGCTGTTTGCCACCTGCAACTCAAACACGCAAAGACCTGGAGCTTCTCAAAAAAGCCACAGGAGTACAATAAGTAATGTGAACTGTACAACATACCTACCCGAAACGCTCTTGCACACAGATACACAAACACAAAACCAGCTGATGAATGTGAACTGCTGAACCTTTAATTTATTAACAATGACAAAGATGTTTACCGATTTCAAGTGGAAAGAAGGTATTTTATTATGAACTGGGTGAATATTTTTGTGATTTTGTTTGTTTGTGTGTGTGTGCGCGCGCGTGTATGTGTCAGTGTGCCTGAGGGCCGTTAAGTCAATGCACTTTCCTTGTAGAGACACAACTTGCCTTGTCAGCCAAAGTGATCGAATGAAGCTGTACAGTAGCTCAGTTTATCTTGAACAGAAAATAAGTCCAAAGTAACCTGCAGGATCTACCTATCAATCTTTTTATTTATTATGCAGTTAATGAAAACAGAATGAATTTGGTTGACTATGAAAACGGAACACAATGCATTAGATACACACAGGCCGGAGGGAAATTATGAAAATAAATTACGTTGTCCTTGAAATAATAGCACATTCGATTGGAACTGCAAATGAAACAAGATGGATTAGATGTGCTCAGGTCAAAAGGAAATGATGAAAATAAATGGCGTTGCAGCTGAGAATTAAACAACAATATTAAGCCAAAACTCAACATGTAGTGTAATATAAATTACAGCCACTGAGTGAGATATGTTAGAGATTAAAGAATTTCAAAACAACTTAATTTTAAACCAAATCATAACAAGCCATACTCACATTTTAATCATATAGACGTACAGTAAAGTAGAGTAAAATTAATCTGGCAGTTTTGCCTTTCTAACATACACTCTTGCTCTTTAACTGGAAAACCTCCTCTGATCATCGTGCAGCTGTACAACTTAAGACTTTAAGCACCTTTTTATGGATTCCTACTTGGACTTACTGGATCTTTTATCTCATATTTTTATTTATCTTTTCACAGTGACGATCTCTCAAGTGCTGTGCAGCACAAATGTATATTACTTTGCTTCTGTTTTTGTGTTCTCATACAGAATTGAATGTGTTACCTTTCATCTGCCTCATTCGTGATCTTTTCATGTGCATTATTGCCAAAACAGTATGTTGAAGATATAATTACATGATGCCTTTTTAGTGTTTGTATCCAGACTGTACAGTAGCGAGCAGCAAATGCATACGGATCATATACCAGCTGGAAGGTATGCGGCTTTATGTTGAGACCATAAAATCTTTAATGGGTGTATGGATGTGAGCAGGGCTCCCCCACTGAGCTATAATACGTACCTGTTTTGTGACTGTGTGGCTGATCGTGTGAGATGGAGGGAGGACAATCACCTTGTTGCCTTTTAACCACTCTACTGTTAAAAAGAGCAAAAGAACAAGAAAAATATTTCCATCCCTTGCCTTTTGTTCAATTGATGCTTTGAAGATGCACAACCCTAGAGTTCCTTTTTTTTTTTTTTATTAGAAGTGAATTTTGTAAATATGGTGTTGAACTCAAACTGTACATGAAATGGAAAACAGGTTGTCAATAATGTGTGTATTTGTTGTGTTTTTGTCTTTTTTTTGTCAGTTGATAATTCTTTCAACATTGCATTTGTTCTGAAATTGCCAATTAAATAAACACTTACGCTTTGTGATAAAATCACATTTCATCCAACACAGCACTTCATAATCATGGAAATGCAAATGACTCTTCAGTTTGTTTACTTTTTGCCTCAGTTATACCAATTCACCACTTGGGGGCAGCCCAGTGTTTTTGAGGATTACGTGCCTCCTACTTAAAAATGTATTTCTGCAAAAGTCCACATTTTTGTATCTCATCTGCTAAAATGATGATAGTACAGCAAATTGTTTGTGTATGTATTTCAGGAATACTATGCAACATGTCTGTTTTGCAGCTAAAAAACAAAAAGAGAGAGAGAGAGAGAGAGAAGGGAAAAATCTGTATTTAACTGTAGCCTGAAAATAAACATCACTGTTTATTTCACCACATCAGCTGTCAACACAGAACAAAGTAGCTAGAGAAATATTGTAGTGTGTTAATGAGACTCTGGAGATCACAGTTAATATCTTCTATTAAACTTGTAAAACTGTCAGATGAAGAGTGAAAATACACAGAATGGTAGATTATAGCACTTCCTTTGACTATTATACATTATGGATGAGGAATGAAGTAGGAAATGTATGAACATCTGCAAGTTTATAGATTCTGCATACTAGTACTGTTGATTTCCCAGTGATTGTTTCTGTGTGTTCTTGTTTGTATCCTTGACAAGAACAGGATATAAAAACTCAGGGCCTAAAGAAATATGGTGCAGTCCAAACAGAGCACAGTCTACCATATGCTTCACATAGTGAATTTACTTGTCCATAAAATGGTCTCTGACCATGAAGAGTGAGCGCTCCCACACACTTCACACCATTCTGGAAATGAGAGAGGACAGATTGGAATGACACAGTTTGGAGACAAAACGGTGCTCACGAGGACAGCAGCGCTATCTTACACCCAGGCATCTGCCAGAAGGAGGACGGAAAAAAAACACATTGGTTCAATTACACTGCGTCTTTCTCATCGTTTCTCACTGACTGTCTCTGCAGAACGCTGTGTTTTAGAATGGACACGTTTAAACTTTTACCTTGAGGCGCTATTTTTTTAGTGCAGGCAGAGAATATTACTAAGAGTACTATCAAATCTGCCATTACCACATCATTTTTCCAAAGCTTTGTATTGGGTGATATTTGTGTCTTTCTTTCCATTTTTTTTTTTGAATCCTTTGATGATTATGTTCCCATGTCGCATGAGCACTCTTTACAGCTGAGTTTTAATTATGTAATGCTCAGGCTTTTGAACTGTGCAAATACATTTAGAGAAATGCCAAGGCTAAAAATATCACACGAGAGACTCATGTGTTCTGGAGTGTGGGCGGTAGCCTTTAGCGTTACACTGTATATTGTTTTCATGAGAAGGGTATAGCTATGGCAACACACACTCTGCATTGTGACACAGTAGTCGGTACTTCCTGTATCTTTTATTTATTTTTTATTTTTTTAAATAGGTTTAAACTGGGTAATCACTCCTGGATTTTTTTTCTCCTGCTTTTTTAAAGGTTAAATGAGAAGAAGACTTAAAGGGAAAAGAATCTGTGGACCAAAAAGAACCAATAGACTAATCTGCCCCAAATGGCAGACAGCAGAAGTACAGAAAAGATTTGGTTAGAAGAAGGAAAACGTTTAAATATTTAGGCTAACTGGAACAGAATAAACTGGAATAGAATAAAATGTCTTCATTTATGTTTTTTAGGCTTTTTGTGCTGCAAAAAAAAACAAAACAAAAAAAACTCATTGACAAAAATGATTGATAAAACCCAAAAACTTTACTCTGAATGCTCGTAACTTATAAAATGTGTGTGTGTGTTTTTTCTTTTTAATTGCTATTTATTTTGTAAACTACTTGTTAATGGTGGAGTCTGATTTTGGAGCTTTATTGTTGATATTTAGCTCGTGTTTTTAGATGATGCTGCTTTCCACTGCGGGGATCTTCCACTGGTCTGATTAGGGATGGCGTGAATCATGATGCGACAACAAGAACCACCCTTGTAGAACCTTTTTCAGAGCTGAGAAAAAAGTACCAACTCCATGGTAGGTACTTTCCAGTGCCCTCAAAAGCTGATATGTTTGTCTGATCCATTAAACTTAGAGAGGACAACACTGATTGATTGACTTCGGACAACAGACACCATGTTTTCTGCACTATCCTCTTTGAATAGAAATGTTATCCTTTCTAGCATCACCATCTTCAGCTTTAAATTCACCGTATAGAAATAGAGTTACGGCCAGCAGATTAAGTCACAGTGGAACCTGTCAGGTCCTGCACTAGAATGGAAACAGAAAATCTGAAAGGGATGAAACTCAGGGACATTCCTGTAAATGTTCACACTATCTTGAGCCCGAGCTCCTGCAGTGGAAAGCAGCCTTATCAGCCTCTATCGCATTCCCTGAGACTGTCATCTTTTCAAAATGCCACAAAAACTATTCAATTGTCATTCCATCGCTTCGCAGCCTTTTATTAGCACTTGAAAGAATTTCGATCATTTTCAACCTTCAATGGTGCCTCGCTGTTTGTTTGCCTTTGGGATCTGAAAGAACGAAACGGCTATGATCTATTGCATCAGGCTTAACAAGCGGGTAGTTGGCATGTGCAGGATTCCCTCTTGTTCCCACTGCTATCCTTCCACCCATCTCGCGTCCTCTTCCCCTTCCCCCTCTCCTGCGCATGTTAGAGCTCATGCACAGGTCACACTGGAATAATAATGTGTCTAGCGGCCCAAGACAATTTGTTTCCTTTTTTACAGAGCCAGGGCTGCGCACAAACACTGGATTATTTTTCAGCCCACACACACACACTGCTAGCAAACTGTTGGGTCATATTAACTAAACGTAATTAACTTTCGACAAAAAGTGTATCGTATTAGAATTACATACTCCACCTTTAATAGTCGCTTTTAAATTGATTTGCGGTTTAATACGAATAGCATGTTGGGTAGCTTACAAAGGTCAAAAGGTGACATGGCAGCTAATGCTACAATGCAAAGCTAAGCTAGTTCCAGCAGTGCTAGTGTTTATTCTTTATGACCAGATACAACATTTTTCGTTGCTGACAGTAAATAAAATGATCAATATGTTAGTCAATTATCATTGATAGATTTCATTTACAGGAAACGGCAAGGGAAAATTTAGCTTTAGCTTTAGCCACCAGTTAGCTTTAACAGGCTTAGCTTTGACGGGAGGGCTGTTTTGTAGTGACAGTGACAGAAAGTGTATGCATGTGCATTCTGTATGTACAGCACATGGTCTTATAAAATGCCTTAGCAAAGTTATATTCAAATCAATATTCACCTGTCGCAAAAAACTGGCATAACCACTAATATTAGCCCGAGCTGCTTCCTGCCCGCCTTAGATTATTGGATTACTTGTGCGTGCATGTTTGGGAATGAATCGTGTGTGCAGAGCTGTGAATGCTCATTATCTGAGTACACCCAGGAGCCCTGTGGCCCCGCAGTACACTATATTCAAGGCAGGTTTATCTGGATTCCCCAACTTGCCACATCGTATAATTTTTTAATCTCACCATTCAATCGGTTCAGCGGTTCCAGTTGATTCCCCGCTGTTTCTCAGTGATGGTGGTCGTGAATAATTAAACAATTCTGACAGCCATGTAGGGGTCCGTTTCCATGACAACCCCTCTCCCAGTGTCCTCTCAGCCCTGAGGAGTAATGTAAATCTCCTGTCTTCTTAATGTCACAGTAACACCAGCAAAGTGCCACACAAAGACGGGCAGGTTTGGGGTCAATGGGAGCTTTTGATTACACGTCCGGCCTCGGTTTCCTTCCTGCTCGGCGTGAGCCAAGGTGTGGCGGGCAACTTGTGATGACACCAGGGAGAGTTTCATATTCTGTCGTGCGAATAAAAATGGTTGTCAGACCATGGTTTCGTCAGACCATGGTTACCTTTCGTAGGTAGCATAATCATTCACTACTTATAGGCCTGAAAAAAAAAGTGGCTTTCACTATTGTAACACAAAAAATATAAAAAGTGAGCAGGTTCAGTAGGTACAGATTACTCAGTGCAGCGGTGGGAGGAATGGCTTTAAGGTCACAGAAGGAATATTTTAATGATGTCCATAATCTTCTGTGACAGTATGTTGACACATTCATGCTTCTGAGGTTGACGCACCCTTCACCACACACACAAATCCGCCTGATCTCCCCCACACACAACACTACTCAGACATAAGCAATTACCCTTTCACATCAAATGGTTCATCAGTTCGGTGGCCCATTAGACAGCGAATTAACCTTCTCTACCTGTAGATGAAGAGGTATGGCTATGACGCTTATAGCCTTGTCGTAGCCAGAGCTATTACTAGAAAATGTGCCATGTACTTTCCACCCAGCACGACACGGACTAATCAAGCCCTGAGAAATGCAATAAAAAAAGGATTATGATGCAGTTATTTATTGTCAGAAGTGCTTATTCTGCATTTTAATCATTCACTCATGTAATATGTGGCTATGTGTTGGGGATTCAAATGGGGCCGTGAGATGTTTAAGTGCTAAAACTCAGCATGGGATTTTTAAAGCCAAACTTCCAAACTCAGTTGAGTCTCGACTGATTTGAACTCTGTTTTACCGGACAGAGTGGATGGTTTGGAGACAGTGGAATTGCTCTGTTAATTTGGTTAAATGCAGTTTTCATTTTGTTCAGCCGTAAAGGGTCATTGTGGAAGCTGTACGGGCAGAAATCCGATGCTTTCAACAGAATCACATTTTTGTGCCATCGCCGAGGACCTTCTGAAAGCTTTTGGAGCTGATGTTGATTGGCAAAATCTGCTCTTATGAAGCTATCAAAAATGTCGGCGAACATATGAGGCCATTAGTGTTTGGCAATCACCATAATGATGATGGCTATGAAAATGATAATTATAATAGCACTAATCACGCCTGTTGTTGTCGACGTCAATCTCCAACCGGACTAATTCTTCCTGTGAAGCTAATTGCCTGTTGAGAAAAATCAAGTTGAGATGTAGGGCTACCAAACCAAGATAATCACTGTTCCTTTGAGAAATGATGCCAGATTTCTGTCTGTTCTGATTGTCCG